TGCTAGTGAGTTGGACGAGTCGAGCATTAAATCTCGATATACCAGGTAGAGCACTGTCATCGACATGTGCTGGTATGAGACGATCAATGCTGACTGTATCCATCGACCTTGAAGGTCTTTTCGTGACGAGGGATCACGTGAAAAGATCCTTCGTAAGGTTGTTGAGTACCGAATCTACTAGTAAGAAAACTTGCCGACAGGTAAATAAATCTCAAGGGAGAGCGACCTGTCGATGTTATATTCGAGTTCACACCGGAGGCAGTATTCGCATCTACGCAGATAGTCGTTGGACGTTATCTGCTCCGTGGTGTGAAAAAATTCCTCATGCAGATGCAATGTCGTGCCTTATACAAGTTTGGAGGCGGGACATTGGATATCTGCCGTTGCTGCTGCATAATCCTCATGTCGTCTCCAACAAATGCCATCTTTCTGCGAACCGAGTTGAGAGAGGAGTCTTAAGGACTGTGAGAAAGATTAAGTAATACATATAGCAAGTGAACTGTCAAACTCACGCTTAGCGAAAACTAAGTTGTCCAGTGCCAGTCGGCGAGGTTTTGCCGTGACTGGGGGTCTGCAGGTGACAATGTGGCTTACCACATAAATAATCACCAGTTGAATCTCCTCGGTTTCGTTACTTTGGGGAATTTATCGAATATGACATGAAATAAATAGTATTGCAAAAAATATACATATTAATGATTCGGTACATATCTGTTTGCGCTTTAAAAACCATGGATTTGATATTCGACGAAGTATCGATTAACGCAGCCTACGTGAATCGACTAGCGATTCATAGGTGTTGTAGGAAATCGACGTCTTTTAGATTTCTTTAATGAGGTTACCAGCATACGCGATCAAAAGCAACTAGTAATCGTGTTGTATTTTGATATCAAAAAGGCTTTCGATAAGGTACCTCACAATCTCCTAATCAACAGACTTCAGTCCGTCGGTATTAGTGGCCACCTGTTGCAGTGAATTAGGTCGTTCCTCACAGATAGATATCAGATTACCAAAATCAACTCACATACATCTACACCTCGACCAATTACCGGTGGTGTTGTGCAGGGCAGTGTTTTGGGTCCACTACTTTTCATAATCTACATCAACAGCATATGCAGTTGTTTCAACACTGGTAAAACCTACCTCTATGCGGATGACCTAAAAGTGATTTATCAAACTAGCAAATCTGACTTAGGAAACTTGTTGCACACAATCCAGCACGAACTCAATACTGTAGATGTCTGGTGTAAGCAATGGAACCTTGAACTTAATACTGAGAAGTGTGGCTGGATGTGTTTCGGAAACACGTCTCCCAAATTAGATCTTATTCTCAACAGGAATGTATTGCCCAAACTCACATCCGTAACTGATCTTGGAGTGCATTATTCGCACAACCTTAACTTCTCCGAACATATCTCCAATAAAGTTTCTCGAATGAGAAGAATGCTTGGTTTCATCTTTCGTAACTTCCTTCATAGAGAATCCAGAACAATTCTCTATAAAACATGCGTAAGACCTGTTGCTGAATACTGCTCTTTCTTATTTTCTAACGTACGCCTGTCTGATATGTCGAGACACCCGCAACATTCTTACTCAAGCGCTTAGAGTATGACTTAGAGGTTGGCATTCAATAATAATAATTAGAAAAACAGTTAGACAGTGCGAGATTTTATTCACCAAAGTTTTCTTGTTACAAACTCTACTCCTTCGATTTCAACATACATAAATCCAGCTTCTTACTTCGACTTCTCTTCTATCCACCTGACACTGCACAACTCTCCCTTCTTTTTGCTGTACTCCTTTATCTGTGTGTTATATTCTTATATTCCAATAATTTAATTTGATTTAAGTGGTCAGTATGAATTTTATCTTGACTTACTACTGTATTGACTAATTCAACATGACAGGTTAAGTAGTGCTTTGGTTATATATACACTTGCCACACTGCTGCCTTTTTCTCTCTCTCTTCTCCTTTTCAGAACCCCATTCACGGTGGGAAATCCTTGGCGACTCTAGGGAACATGCACCCTATGTACATGACTGTCTGGATCACAGCTCGTATCAAGCGCGTTCCATATGACCTTTCTCAACAAATTCACTATCGGTCTCGAAAAATCGCCAAAAGAACCTATTGTGCACCTTCCTTCCTTATTTGTACTCTACTATTGAAAATGTGGCTGTATAATACCGTTTTCTGTCAGTGACATGGTGTAAATATGCAATGAGAAACTGACTCTTATACTTAATTTAACTACTATAACTTTACAGTAATTGTGAAAGCATTTGTGACAATTTGATCTAGCCTGTAAACTGGCGTGACTCTTGTAACGTAGTTATTTGCGAATAAATATATATTATGGCTATGGGAACATCAGAAGGGATGAACGTCCATAGAAACTGTCGTCGGCTATTCAGGTAGATAGTTAGCTGTCGTATACCGTAGGTAGGAATGACAGAGCCGTTCGCAGTGCGTGGTCGAAGCATCGTAGCTTATGACTTACTGCTACCAAACGATACGACAGAAACTTGGGCACTTGTGGCCACCAAGTACCTAACGTTAGTGCAAAATTCGAGCACGTAAAATAAACTAACAACCTGAAGTGACGGGGAGGAGACAGGTTAACATGCAATGACCTGCACCTCGGAGTCTATTATTATAGCTATCTACCATTTCGAAAGGTTGTTGCAAGTATAATACATATTAAAGACATTATTAATAGTATTGCAACATTATAAAAATGGTGATAGATAAATAATAGACTCACCGTAATTGACTTCGTTTGGAAAAAACGTCGGTCTCACCAATTGTTGAGAGTGAGTCAAGATACCAGATTGACTATGCTCACCACTAAATGTTCCATAATGTCCCGTCATGATGTAAAGCAAAACAAAATAAATCCATGGTTGAGTTATTTATTGAAGGAGAACATTGGCATTACATGGGGAGCAGCAAATAGAGAAAAAATGGCAGCAACGCGAAGAGAACGTTGCGCGCAAGAAGTCGTAGCAGTGTTTTTGGTACAGTTCAACAAAAGATGTACAATAACGTTTATTTTTCACAAATCGTATTTTCTTCGTTGAAGCGTGCCACTACAAGACGTCATTACTCTTCTGAAAGAACACCTTCCAACTCACAGGACAGAGCTAAAATGGTTTAAATTATTTTTCCTGATGATCGTTTTTTAGCGAGTTAGATTTTTGCGGGATGAGGTCGCCAACAATAGGACCAACCACCCTCCTTTATCCAAGTTGAGACCGGCAGCAGCCTCTGATGGGCTCCTGGCGTAGTTGAGAGGCAAGAAGCTGCACGGTAATAGTTTGGTAAAGTGTTTCCCACTAGTGATCATAAAAAATTGCTCATCGTTGGCTTTTTGCCGATAGATCTCCTAGGCATTAAGGAGAGAGTTGTCTTACGATTACTTCAGCGTCTGGGATTAGATAAGTTCAGTTTTCCTGACGATGTTCATCAACAGGAACATGAAACGTCTGGTGGGTGCTAATCCTGAACTCTCGCATTACCGTTTGACATTTCTTTCGGGCAAGCTGAAGATTGGGTGCCAGGTCATTTAAGTTTGTAAAGTATGGAGTAGGGAAATAGTAACCATCAACCTGTCGGTCTAACCAGCGTAGCCATCAAACTAACGGAGGGGATTATTCAGTGGGTACGAAAAGAAACAAATTTCTTTGCCAGAAAATAGCACGAATCTAGAAGAGACTGTTCATGTTTGACAAATTTCCTAGTTTTGAGGAGGGATCGGACGGCAGCGAGATCAATTCTTTGACATCAGGAGTTCCGATGCTCGTATGGAATGGTGGAATAATGTAATTCGCATTCAGAAAACCTAATATCAATAAGGTTTTATTTTTACAGTACTACACATTTCAAGGATTGATATTGGCAGGTAGACATAATAATTCTACGGAAGACTGATAACTGCCGATTATCGTTATTTTTCCGAACTACTGTTAAATCAACTCAAGGTTGTTCAGTGGATACCGATTTGGGATTTAATTGGTGCTTGGGTCCTCTAGGTTGTTCACATAAATACTATATTCTCATGTCTTTTTTGCTTTCGTACAATTTAAGATATGCCAACCAAAATAAGCTTTTAGGGTTTCCTGATTTTCATATTAAGAGTCCGACTGAAGGGAGCCCATATAAGAGTTATCCTCAAGTTAGGAAACTATCGTCACCCTAATTTCCGTAAAATTGTGTTTTTGTTCTTATGAAGGTTGGTTGTTGGCACAATAACGATAGCAAAAGTTTTATTTCCCCCTGGCTTGTCGATGACAGAAATCTGTTGTTTTAGGTCTTTGGCGTATAAATATCCATTTTTGCTTTTTTTGAAGGAATTAGAATTACAACTTCATCGGGTGGATAATCTACTACTTCCTGTGTAATAACGGTAGAGAATGAGCAACTGACATGCCCTATGAAACTGATAAGTAATAAAATCTCGAAACTTTACGGGAATCTGTAAATTGTGAGCTGCATTTAAGGTTTTATTAGTAACGTGTTTCACCGCAGTTCTTTTTTTGTCTAAAGCATTCCTATGGCAGTTTTAGATCTCGAAATTCTAGGAATTGTTTTGGAGAAATAACACATCGAAATAAATTACAAAGGATAGATGGATTGTTGTTTTATACATTAAGAGCTACAAATCCATCAGTATCTAGCCAGTAGCAGGGAACTATTTAATCTATTTTCAGTTAAGTCAATAAAACGTCAACGAAAACATTTCAGACAATACTGAAAGCTTTTCTGGTTATATTAGAGAAACGTCCACTCCTTAATCCCGATCGATTTTGCTGGGATCTATGCTACAATTCGGTGAGCTGTTGTGTTCAAAGTTTCAAGTTGAACCATGAAATTACTTCTTTTAAATATAATTCAAAATACTTTGCGTATTCACAAGGTCTTATTGTCTTCTTGTTAATTCAGTGAAAGTACCTGATGTAAATAGGACGAATCTTCGAAGCATATATACAATACCTATATAATGTCGACTGTGTATGTAGATCGAGGGATGGCCTGGTGTACAGTAGTTGGTAAGTTAGTTTCCGATGCATTTTTATGATCCATGAGTGATTTAACTAGATGCTGACTATCCATCCTTTGTGTCCTGTCAAATACTAACCTTCTGAATTCCCGATAACCTTTTTATTTCACTGAATTACAGTTCCTTGAATCTTATCTTCGATCTTCAGTATTCATACTGTTAACACGCTACTCTGACCTGAAAATTCCATCGTTTTGTACGAATAGGGCATTTTAATTCTAACTGATGTTTTTATCTAATAAGTTCTACGTTCTAACTGACTGAATCATAATGCAGGGACATCAAAACGATTAAGGTTATTCACTTATTTGCTTACGAATTAAAGGCTACTTACTTTTCATTAGTTAATTTTAATTGATCCTCGATTCATGCTTAATATTCGCCCACTATATGATGTTCCTAAATTTGGAAAAATTAGTAAATTCCCTTTATATCACTTTTCACTTATGTCTACATTAAAGGTAGAATCTCAGTTACCAATATCACCTTCAGATATTTTGTTTTGTAAAAGAAAAACTGGTTAGTTTTGAGGGCTTACCTGTTGAAAATCTGCTTTTAATGGATGAGTCGACTTTGATTACCTTACACGTTTCGAATCCATATCTACGCACTGGATGATGTAGTTAAGGAGTTTAAATAATCGGTCTAAATTTTTAAGAGTTGCACATATTTGGCGGTGCATAAATAACAATACCAGTCAAACTTCTGATTTTGAATCTAAGTGGCGGAAAATGCGTTCCTGTGTTCAAGCTCAGTAATGAGAGCAAACAGTTTCAAATGACTGATTATTGCCGATTATGGTAAGAGCATTCTTCACAGCTGCATTATAAATCACTTTCACTCATAATTCGATGGTGACTACATTTTTAAAGGTTAAGCTGATATGCCGATGACATAGTTCTATTTGGTGAAGACGCTGACAAAATGCAGTCTTCTGACTACCATAAGCAACAATGCAAGCATGTTCGGGATGCGGTTTTCCCCCCGGAAATGCACAATGTTGCTTCAAGACTGTGCTGTATCCGCACCTGAACTAGTGATAGCCAATGAAGTAGTCGAGTGTGTTGATCACTTCACTTATCTGGCGAGTCTCACCAGTGGTGATAGCCTGATGATGACGAGATCTCAGCGCGGATACAGAAGGCTCGATTTGCTTTTGTCAATTTAAGCCGTTTATGGCGTAGGCGAGATATCCGTTCGCTAACCAAAGAACGAATGTACTTCGCAGCAGTTCGCTCCGTCCTACTATATGGATGCGAAACATGGCCGTTAAGAGTAGAAGATGTCCGTAGGTTACTAGTCTTCGATCATAGATGTCTTAGAAGCATTGCTCGTATATCGTGGGACAACCGAGTAAGCAATGCTGTTGTTATGAAACGAGTACTAGGTAAGGATGGCAGATCAACAGATGAAGTGGTGAAACTTCATCAGCTGAGGTGGTTGTGGCAATGCCTAACCACCGACTGCCTCGTCGAGCTATATTTTGTGGTGTAGTAGTATGTTGGAAGAAAGCTAGAGGCGGCCTGACCAAAAGATGGCAGATATCCATGAAGTCATTGACAAGTGGACTGAGTCATGTTGGTAGATGTAGGCTACCTGGTTGGGATCCGCGAGACGATAGTCACCAATGGTTAGAGATCTTGAATGACACGGATCAAAATTGTTTGCAATGGCGCAAGTGCATCCATTCATTGAGCTCTCTCAAATCCTAATCTTCTGGATTCGTTAGCACCTCTACTTTTGTTTTTCTAACCTTATCTCACTGAATTATACTTCTTGAATAATATCTTCAAATCCTAATCTTCTCCATTAGCAGTAATTCTTCTACTATCTCTACCACTATAGGATTTGATTTGACATTTGCGTCTCTGTGCTAATGTGATATGGCAACATGAACTTATGTACATACGTACGTACGAAGTTCTATGTTGCATCTGACTAACTGAAGCTGATATTGCGAATGTCAAGTTTTCATTGCACCTGTCAATTTTCCTGATTTATTTCGAGCTTATTATAGATCACGCCATGGCTATATACATTTTCAGTATTCGACTGATACTCATTACAGTTTCAGACAATTCGTTTACTACAATTTAGATAAAATTGACCTTTATACCTTGGTTAAACAGATATTTTTTCGATAAGCGTACAAATACTACACTTCACTTGATTAATTGTTTGTCGCCTTAAATCATTGAATAATTTTTTCATTGAAAGCCATAATATAACCCACTATTTTTACAAATTAATTAATAATTTATTGGATGGTTCTGTAGCATTGTTTGTTATTGAAAAGTGTACCAAAGAAGTACATTAAATTTGTTCCGGCACTACTCAAACATTACTAGTTGAGTTAGAGCTTATCGTGGTGAGCCGTCATCGGAACCGATTACTTCAAGTGGTATCCGTCAAGGGTTTGTCCACTCTCTCAATTCTCATTCAATCTTGTCATGCTTGTCATACTTTTTTAAGATAACACTGTTCCCGTCTGATTTTTCAAGAATCGAACTTTTGCCAGGCGATTTGGTTGATGTCGACTTAGAGTATGCTGTTTTGTTCAGTGACAAGCAGTAGTCTTCTGAGCACCTTGAGTAACAATGCAAGCATGTTCGGGATGTGATTCTTCCTCTCAAAATTCAAAATGTTCCTTCAGTATTTGCTTGCTATGGGAAGTGAAGCAGTTGAACGTGTTCACCGCTTCACTTATCTTATAAGTCCCATCAGTGTTGATAGCTTGGTGAATGACGAAATCTCAGCATGGATACAGAACGCTTGCCTAGCTTTTCCTAACTTGCATCATTTATGGCATATGCAAAGGAAGAGTTCACTGAACAGCAGTTCTCTCCGTTCTACTCTGTAGGTGCGAAACATGACCAGTAAGAGTAGAGGATATTCATAAGTGTCTTTGAAACATTTCTCATATATCCTGGGAAAGTCTTCTAATAAGCACTACAGTTATGACGAAAAGAGTATGAGGCATGGATGGCAAATCAATTGATGAAGTAGTGAATGTTTATCAGTTAAGGTGGTTAGGACGTGTTATTTATGCTTAACCACCAACTGCCTCGACGACAAGTGATGTTTTGTGATGTAGGGTTCGGCTGGAAGAAAGCCAAGGATGTCCAAACTAAAACATGGCACATATCTATTACATCAATGTTAATAGGTGTAGACTACCTGTTTGCAGTCCGCAAGAAAATATGTATTATAAGTAAGTATTCAACAATTGAACCCGCTTCATGTGACTTTGATTTTTGAGTAAATGTCATATTCTAGTGTGAAGACTTTTACAATGTTTTATGTTTTTTTATGTTTGTTTTTCATTTGAACAAAAGGTGGTTTTGTTGCCAACATCCTGTTAGGTGGTTTAGGCAAATCTTATAGTTTGGTTATGGAAGCTTTTCAAGAAGTGTTTGAATGTGGTTCTGCCTATTTGTTTCTAGCTGGTGGTCTAATCTTTACCCTGATGTATTGTCTATGTAAGTTTCCGTTTGTATTTTGTACATATTATGTTTGAAATTTTTTCAGTTTAACCCCAGTGAAATCCATGAAGTCATTGACGAGGGGACTTAGCCATGTCGGTAATTGTCAACTACCTGGTTGGGGTCCGCGAGATGATAATAATCGATGGTTAGAGACCTTGAATGACATGGCTCAAAATCGTTCGCAATGGCGCCGGTGCATTTATTCTTTGTGTTCTCTCTAATTCCAACCTTCTGAATTCTTCATAATCTCTATCTTTCTCGAATAATATCTCATCCTAACCTCTCCGATTACTTCTGATACCCGTACTAACTCTTCTACTATTGGTTTTGAATTGACAATTACATCTCTGTGCTGATGTGGTATGGCAACATGAACTGATGTACTTACGTACGTACGAAGTTCTACGTTGCATCTGACTGACTGACTGAGTCTAACCCCAGTATTGTTCTCTTTGTGGTCTTAATATACTCAAGCAACACTTCGAAAGAACCTATGATTAAATATTGATAACCTATGGATAATATCCTTGAATTTTCAGGATAATGTTTCACAACCATTTTGTAATTGAAAGAAGGCTTTTACGTAAATATACTCACCCCTTAGCTGGCAGATGAATACCCTCTTCTACTGAATAAGTGATGCGATTTGTCAATGGTCACAGAGGATATCAAACTAACGAATGTCTTCTTATATCGGACACATTCATCTGTATCAATATTCCTCCGTTCTTGTTAGCTTTTTTTCAGCGAGTTCGTTTTTTGCCGGATGGGGTCTGCAACCTCAATCCCAAAACCCTCCTGCTTTATCCTTCGGATAAAGGATAAAGACCTCGAAGGGTCTACAGGCGTCTACATGAAGTCACTGACAAGTGGACTGAGCCGTGTTGGTAGATGTCGACTGCGTGATTGGGTCCTGCGAGATGATACTAATCGATGGTTAGAGACCCTGAATGACATGGCTCGAAACCGATTGCAATAGTGTAGGTGCATACAGTCTTTATGTTCTCTCCAGTCCTAACCTTCAGAGCTCCTCATCACCTTTGTGTTTTTCTTTCTAAGTTTATTTCACTAGATTTTACTTTATGAATAATATCTTCGAAACTTAATCTTCTTCATTACTGCTAATACTTCTACTATCGCTACCACAATGGGATTTAAATTGACAATCACATCCCTGCGCTAATGTGATATGGCAACATGAACTGATGTACTTATGTACGAAGTTCTACGTTTTGTCTGACTGACTGGTTTTCTCTAATATCGAAATCGATTTCTGTTTTTATACCATTGTTCTTTTTCGTTTGCTCATAAATCGTCATTTTTTTTTATTATTTCTAGCTCTTGTTAACCATTTAATTTCCAAACGATATGGTAGTCGACCTGTTGTAATGGCTGGGGCTTTTGGCTCATTTATCAGTTTATTGATTGCATCATGTTCCCCTAATTTGGCTCTTTGGGTAGTTGCTGTTGGCTTAGGAATTGGTAGGTTGTTTTGACTATATGTTTTGTTTTTTTTTCTACCTTATAGTCTATTATAATTCACTGTTTACTAATGAGTTATTGATTAAAATGTTATGCTTACTCAAGTCGTTTAGGTCTGATAGAATTTTTGATAATATATATATATATATATATATATATATATATATATATATATATATATATCGTACGTACGTGAATCTTGTTCATGCGACGGCGATAATAACTAGCCAAATATGAAATGGCTTCACTTATATCGGGAGTCTCATCAGTGCCGATGGCCTGGTGACTGACGATATCTCAGCACGGATACAGAAGGCTCAATTGGCTTTTGTCATGTTGCGTCACTTATGGCGTAGACGTGATATCCGTTTGCTGACTAAAGGACGAGTGTACTACGCAGTAGTTCGCTCCGTCTTACTTTATGGCTGTGAAACATGGCCAATGAGAGTAGAAGATACTCGTCGGTTATTGGTTTTCGATCATAGGTGTCTTCGAAGCATTGCTGGTATATCGTGGGACACCCGAGTGAGCAACGCTGTTATTAGGAAGCGAGTGCTAGGTAAGAATGGCAGATCAATCGATGAAGTATTGAAACTTCACCAGTTGAGGTGGTTGGGACATGTGTTACTCGTGCCTAACCACAGACTGCCTCGTCGAGCTTTGTTTTGTAGTGCAGGAGTACGTTAAAAGAAAGTTAGGGGCAGCCAGACCAAAACATGGCAGCAGTCCTTGAAGTCATTGACAAGTGTACTGAGTCATGTCGGTGGTTGTCGACTATCTGGTTGGGGTTGGTGGGATGATAATAATCGATGGTTAGAGACCTTGAATGACATGGCTCAAACCCGTTTGCAATGATGCCGGTGCATTTATTCTCTGTGTTCTCTCAAATTCTAATCTTCTGGATTCGTCAGCACCTCTAGCTTCCAATTTCCAAACTTTTCTCACTGAATCATACTTCTTGAATAATATCTTCTAATCCTAACCTCTTCGATTACTTCTAATACCTTTACTACCTTTTCTATTATTGGATTTGAATTGACAATTACATCTCTGTGCTGATGTGGTATGGCGACATGAACTGATGTACTTACGTACGTACGAAGTTCTACGTTGCATCTGATTGACTGATTGAATTCGCTTGGATGAGTTTATTTATATCAAACAATCGTTCGCACAGACAGATATGATAATACAAAGCGTTAAAGCGAAGTAAAGCAAAGCGAAGTGGAGACGGCCATTGGGCCAACTCCATGTAATGAGGCATGACAAAACATACATATATATTCATGTATATTAGAGTAAAGCCTGATGACAATCTAATCGAAAACAACAATATTGTTCACTTATATGTGTTGTTCTAACCATCATTTATAGTCAGACAAATATCAGCCATACATATACGATAAGCGAAGTATAAGTTGTACACAAATATACACTCGAATAGAAACAATCAAGATAAAAGCGAATAGTTGGCAAGGTCGGAAGATGTGTGAATAACTCAAGAATAATGGATTGATTGCATTGTCCGAAGGCTGGTACAATCCCTGTGATCTCGATATGTGCAGTACACACACTACGAATTCTATCGACCAAGCGCAACCGATGAAATTCGACGTAGCTCTAGCATGTGCTAGGTTGAAATGTGAGATGTTGATGAAGGCAGTGTTGACAAAAAACGATAAGCCTCTCCTGGCTTTTATCAACTAACAAGATATTCTAGTCCACGGTATCTTGTCAACTACTATGCCGTAACTAGTTCATTATGCAAATGAAACGAATGTGAGTAGTATTAGTATTAGTAGTAAATACTTAATCAATTTTTACCTTAATTAAACAAATATTGTTGGTTTTGTGTTATTCTATTTGTTTGTTGGTTGGTTTTTTTTCTGTTGGTGGTTAGATAGATTCAGTATCTTTTTTACTTCTGATTAATTAGTAGTATGCATAAAATGAATTGTAACTTAGATGGTTTGTGGCTGGTTCTTGGATGGGTTTTTTTGAGAGAGCTGTCTACTCTTTTAAATTACAGATTCAAATACCGCTTGCCTGGACGTGGTTGTATAGACCACATCTTCACATTACGACAGGTCTTGGAACACAGACACACATTTAGACGTCCGAAAATAGTTGTGTTCCTGGGCATAAAAGCGACATTATACACAGTGGATCGTGAGGTTCTGTGGCAGTGTCTGTCATTGAAAGGTGTACCAAAGAAGTACACTAACCTTATACAAGCTCTCTACTCGAACACTACTGATCGGGTGAGAGCATATGGCGAACTGTCATCTGAATTCTCTACATCAAGTGGTGTCCGTCAGGGCTGTCCACTCTCTCCATTCTTATTTAGCTTGGTCGTAGACATCCTCTTAGAGTTAACATTAAGCTCGTCAGATTTTTCAGGGGTTGACCTCCTACCAGGAAAATCGCTTACTGATCGAGAATATGCCGATGACATAGTTCTATTCGGTGAAGACGCTGACAAAATGCAGTCTTCTGACTACCGTAAGCAACAATGCGAGCATGTTTGCGATGCGGTTCTCACCCTCGAAATGCAAAATGTTGCTTCAAGATTGGGTTGCATCGGCACCTGAACTAGTGATAGGGAGTTAAGTAGTCGAACATGTAGACCGCTTCACTTATCTTGGGAGTCTCATCAGCGCTGATAGCCTGATGACTGACGAGATCTCAGTGCGGATACAGAAGGCTCGATTTGCTTTTGTCAATTTACGCCGTTTATGGCGTAGGCGAGATATCCGTTCGCTAACCAAAGGGAGGATGTACTTCGCAGCAGTTCGCTCCGTCCTACTATATGGATGCGAAACATGGCCGTTAAGAGTAGAAGATGTCCGTAGGTTACTAGTCTTCGATCATAGATGTTTAAGAAGCATTGCTCGTATATCGTGGGACAACCGAGTAAGCAATGCTGTTGTTAGGAAACGAGTACTAGGTAAGTATGGCAGATCAATAGATGAAGTAGTGACCAAAGTCACCATTGGTTAGAGACCTTAAACGACATGGCTCAAAATCGTTCACAATGGCGCAAGTGCATCCATTCGTTGAGCTCTCTGGATTCGTCAGTACCTCTACTTTTGTCTTTCTAACCTTATCTCACTGAATTATACTTCCTGAATAATATCTTCGAACCCTAGTCTTCTTCATTACCATCAATACCTCTACTATCTTTATCACTATGGGATTTGATTTGACATTTGCGTCTCTGTGCTCGTGTGGTATGGCAACATGAAGCTATGTACACACGTACGAACTTCTACGTTGCAACTAACTAACTAACTAATACCGCTTATGTTATGCTTATGGTATACAAAATTCTTTTCTAATAGTTAGTTAGTTAGTCTGTCACCCGTAACTGACTGACTGTCACAACATAGAACTTCGTACGTACATACGTCAGTTCAGTTTACCATATCACATTAGCAGACACAGAGACGTAACTGTCAATTCAAATCCCATAGTGGTAGATGTAGTAGAAGTACTAGCGGTAATGAAGACGATTAAGATTTGAAGATATTATTCCTGTTCCATTGTAAATGATTTTGATCCACGTCATTCAAGGTCTCTAACCATCGGTTATCATCTCCATATTTTCATCTGGCCGCCTCCCTAGCTTTCTCCCAGCTTACGCTTACATCACAAAACATAGTTCATCAAGTCATTCGGTGGTTGGGCATTCATAACACATGTTCCAACCACGTTAACTGATGGAGATTCACTACTTCAACAATTGATCTGCCATCCCTAACTAATACCCGTTTCTTAACAACAACAATGCTTACTGAATTGCTTCAGGATATAGGAGCAATGCATCCATTCTTTGTGTTCTCTCAAATTCCGATCTTCTGAATTTCTCATCACATTTATCTTACTGTTTTCAAGTTTATTTCACTGGTTCATACTTCTTGAATAATATCTTCGAACCGTAATTCCTCCGATTACTGTTAATACTTCTACTACATCTCCCACTATGGCAATTGGCAATCGCATCTGTCTCTGCTAATGTGGTATGGAAACGCGTACTAAATTCTACCTCGTAGCTGATTGTCAACGTGCGAAGATCTAGTACAGATATGAATCTATTCCAGTTGACATCAACAAGATAGGCTTCAAAGATGTCAGTGGATAGTAAAAATGTAAAGAGCGATTATAACAACCGAAGTTTAGAATGGGATATATGAAGTAAAGCCATCTGTATTCGCCACTAATTGTGGTTTTCGCTTGAACCTCATTCAAGTACACTCACTGTACATCACCACCAACCAAAACATTTCATATTAAAAATCAATAATTTCATGGATCGATATTAAATCACGATTTGAATATCCTCCAACTTTTATCTTATCCATTTCTATTGTGACCAGTATCTGACTTCTAAGTGTTAGGAGGCAGCAGTAAAACACACGTCATATATGTTGATATGCTTCAGAATAAGGGTTCAGTCAATCAATCACTCAGTCATTTACAACGTATAACTTCGTACGTACGTACATCATCAGTCCAGGTTGCTATACAACATGGTAGCACAGAAATGTGATTGTCGATTTAAATCCCATAGTGGACGAGGTAGTAGAAGTATGAGCATTAATCGGAAAGGTACTACTCACTAAATCTTAAATATCTGTTTATTGTGTAAAAGAATGTTCGTGCATAAATCAATCAGCTTAATTGTCCCATATGAAAATTATAACGAAGAAGAAAATTCTCACTCAGTCAGAATCCATGCGATTCTTCACCTCAACATTTGGCATGCATCGGCACCCAAGCTAGTGATAAGTAGTGAAGTAGTTGAGCATGTTTACCTCTTCATTTATCTGGGGAGTTTCATTAGTGCAGTTGGTCTGGTGTATGACGAGATCTCGACGAGGATACAATATGTTCGACAGGCTTTTGTCGTAGGTTATTAGTGTTTTAATGATCTGTGTGTTCAAGGCATTACTCATATATCCTGGGACAATCGAGTATGAGATTCTGGGGTTGGGAAAAGGGTACTAGGTAAAGATGGTAGGTCAATTGATGTGGTTGGGACATGTGTTACTTATGCTTAACCATCAACAACTTCAATGAGCCATATTAGTGGGTGTAAACTACCCTAGTCCGGGCCCACGAGACTCTAGTAACCGAATGTTAAATACGTTGACATGACATGCCTCAAAGTCGTTTGCATTAATTCAAATGCACACATTCGTTGTCTTCCCTCAAAGTCTAACCTGTTGAATTCCTTATAACCTTTTTCTCTTTATTAATTTATTTCACTGGTATATGCTCGTCAAATCACAGTAACGATCCCCAATACTTTCGATTACTACTAATATTGGTACATTCTTGTTAGGATATTCATCCAATATCCTAAGAGAATTATTAGTCTATTCCTATTGGTTAATTCCTAATGGTCAATTTTATGGTCGTCCTAGGTATCAATATCACGTGCTCCAATGTTGTTCATTATTGGCTGTCCTGACTATCAATGTCACTTCAAATGTTGCTTCCAATTAGTCGTCCTAACTGTCAATGTCACAGAATTCGATGCTGTTTCCTATTCGACCAAAATGTACAAATACGCATTATCTGAAACGTTTTATGACCAGGACTCGGTCCCGGATCCCTTGTTCGGAATCCTGATTCTCTTCTGGATTCGGACCTCGTACTTTCTGGATGCTTGTAGAATACAGGTTCTACTCCACATTCAAGTCTTCTTATTTTTTACTCAATATGAGGGTTTGGAATAATCGGATTAGAGTAGCATGTCGTGTCGCCGGATCCTCGCTCTCGTTTTCCGACTAAGTAAACTCCTAATGATGCAGGCATATCAAGCTGATGTGTTTACATGCAGACGTAACAACAATTCTCCACTATTATAGATGTTAATCTAGTATGGTCATTTGAACTGATACAAGGTACATACCACCTTTTATCATTGCAACTAATTGACTGATAGTCTACACATCTACCCTTCATTGTTTTGCACTTTTGATGTTTTTTCGATATGTTTGTTGTACTGTGTTTCATTGATTACATACATGTGAATTAATCTATCACTTACTTTATTCTTTCTCCCTTGTACAGGTGCATCATTATCATGTATTTATTTCACAGTATTTGCTGTTGTCGGTTGTTGTTTCAAACGTTATCTAGGTTTAGCTAATGGAATTAGTATTGCTGGTGTTAGTATTGGGCAAATGGTATTCCCTTCATTGATTACTTATTTAAATACAACGTATAGTGCTAGAGGTGGTGGAGTTATAATGGCTGCAATCTGTTTACATCTATTGATTACAGCTGTATTAATGCCTCGTCATATCATTGATCCAGATGCACCCAGTGTATCCACAGAAAAAACTGATGTGAACAAATCAAAAAAGAAATCATCATCGAAATTACAATCTAAATCGAAAGAAGGCAAACAATTGATGCCATGTAAAGATCAATCCATGATAGATAAACAATTGGCATTGATCATTGATTCAGGAGACAAGAAATCGATCAATGCTGCTGTAGATGATGAATTCTCTACGAAATTAGACGATTCAAAGTAAATTTTTCCTGTGATTATTGCCTATTTTTTTTTTGTTCTGTCGATTGGATGCCTCGGCGCCTTTAACATGGATTTTGAGCAATGTCATTCAAAGTCTCTAACCCGGTAGTCTACACCTACCAACATGACTTAGTCAGGTTGTTAGTGACTTCATGGATTTATGTTATGTTTTGGTTTGGCCGCTTCTAGCTTTCTTCAAGCCTACCCTTACATCACAAAACATAGCTCGTTGAGGCAGTCGGTAGTTGGTCACTTGTAACACGTTTGTGCTAACTATCTTAACTTATGGAAATTCACTACTGCTGCCTAATATCCGTTTCCTAAAAACAGCATTTTTTTCTCAATGGTTTCGAGATATACGAGCAATTCTTTGAAGATACGTTTGATCGAATACTGGTAATCTACCAATATCCGCGCTTCTTACTGACCATGTTTCACTCACATGATGTCGGACGGAGCGCACTGCTGAACTGCACACTCGTCCTTTGATTAAGAGACATATATCTAGCATACACCATAAATGACAAAATTTCTCGGAATCCAGTCAATCCTTCGATCTGTTTACTGAGATTTCGTCATGTACCAGGACATCATCGCTGATGAAGCTCTTGAGATAAGTAAAGCAATGAAATTTATGTACTCCACTCTCTATCACACTAATTCCGGTGCCGATGTAAGCCAGTCCTGAAGCATTTTAATGGGGAGAATCGCATCCCGAACATGCTTGTTAGACTTCATTTCTTAAGCGTCCTCATCATATTCTAAATCGACAAGTAAATCGCGGGTAAAAAGGTCCAGGAATACAATTGTTGTGTAACGTTTGAAAGTATATCGATGTTCTAGGACATAACGATGTGTGAATATGTGGTCTGTACATCCATGTCCAGTTTGGAAACCAGCCTGGTTTTCTCGAATCTGCTCTTTGTGAGCTCTAGCTGGAACTTAAAGTATTATCAAGGCTAAGATTTTAGACATGATATTAGTTACACTAATTCCTCTGTGATTGCCAACCTGCGTCACTTATGGCGTAGGCAAGATATCCGTTTGGTGACTAGCGGAAGAGTGTACTGTGCAGTAGTTCGCTGTTATTAGGAAACGGGTGCTAGGTAAGAATGGCAGATCAATAGATGAAGTGGTGAAACTTCATCAGTTGAGGTGGTTGGGACATGTGCTGCGTATGCCTAACCACCGACTGCCTCGAAGAGCTTTGTTTTGTAGTGTAGGAATAGGTTGGAAGAAAGCCAGGGGCGGCCAAACCAAAACATGGCAGAAATACATGAAGTCATTGACAAGTGGACTGAGTCATGTCAGTAGTTGTCGACTACCTGGTTGGGGTTGGTGAGATGATAATAATCGATGGTTAGATACCCTGAATGACATGGCTCGACACCGTTTGCAATGATGCCGGTGCATTTATGCTTTGTGTTCTCTCAAATCCTAATTTTCTGGATTCTTCAAAAACTCTAGTTTTGACTTTCTAAACTTATCTCATTGAATCATACTTGTTGAATAATATCTTCTAATCCCAACCTCTCCGATTACTTCTAATACCTTTACTACCTCTTCTACTATTGGATTTGAATTGACAATTGCATCTGTCTGTGTTAATGTGGTATGGCAACATGAACTGATGTACTTACTTTCGAAGTTCTACGTTGCCTCTGACTGACTGACTGACTGACTGTTACAATAAAAATATCCATCTGTCTACATTGATTTCTCTTCCTTTTTTGTTTCTGTTATTTATTTCATTATACAGAGATATTTTAGTTCATTCAATGAATACAATGAATCATTCATCATCGACATTATCTCGTGTATCTGTTCTATCGTTAACAACTCGACAAACAACTTATTTAACACGTGGATTATTGATTGTTTATATAATAGGCAAAGCATTTGGTGATGTTGGCGATGTGAGTGTATCGTTTATTGCACCAGTTTTTGGCACTGAATTATCATTAAGTTCTACCATAGTAAGTATATTTTTTGTATAGTTATTGTTGTGAATAATTGCGTTTATATTATTATAACTTTGTCATGCTTTAAGTCGATTAAATGAGCATAGGCCAGTTGACCAGTTTTTTTTCTTCAATCAACTCTGTCTCTTGGGCACTTCCCTTTCCCAGTTTTTTGTTCATTCTTCTCATGTCTTTCTCTATTTCACGGGGTAATGTGTTCCTTGGCTTTCCTCTTTTTGTTTAACCTTGAGGGTTCCATGTGACGGCTTGTCTTGTGACACGCAGTTCGGTTGGCTTTTGGCAGTGTGTGTCCTATCCACTTCCACCGCTTCTTGCTGATTTCCTCCTCCACTGGGATCTGGTTTGTTCTCTTCCACAGTGGGTTGTTGTTGATAGTGTCTGGTCAAGTCGAGAAAAACTCTGTCTAAATTACCTACATGAATTTATTGTGAATATAAATGATTCAAACAAGTCTTCTTGGTTGTTCTTGTAACTCTTCTATGTACAACTGTTTTTTATCTGTTGATCTGTGGTCATAATGTCAGCCAAAACCCAATGTACTAACTATATCAATGTGTAGTATAAATTAATTCTAAAACTTATATGAGAGAAGAAAGAGTGAATGCGTCTGTTTCACTGAGACTGATTCTAGATCTCATGTCATCGAGTATAAGATGCTCAATATTGTTGGATCGATTGAAGTTAGACATCGGCACATTGGATGCTGGTTCGATGATGAAAAGATTGAACATATTTACGTTGCAGAATTTGGAGTTCTATTCCCGTTTAACAAGCCGTGGATGCACACTGCTAGTGAGTGATTTACTAAGCCGAAACAGTTGTCCAGTGCTGTCAAATATCCAATTGTGATCTAACAATTGATCGGTTTGTGATTTCATTGAAACTCAACTCAATCTCTACAATTGTATAACAATAAAGTTTTATTATCTCGACATAAACGACGTAACTGAATGAACAACTGTATAACAAATATTGTTGTAACGCTACGCTTAAATAATTCCCAACTAATTCCTATTGCTTAGTGTATTCTCTGACCACACAATACACTGGACAAGTTCCAAAGAATAAAAAAACACGGTTGAACAGGAAAAGATAATATTCCAAATAGCAAGGTTAAATGGAAATAAGAAGCCAAGGGTGATGGCGAAGGCAAAAAAAGATACAATGTTAGTATCTTTATAGTATTTACATAGAAGCTTCTGGATAGTAATTCACGTGATCGACTGAATTAGATTTTGCCCATCAGAGTGCAGCTATCGCAGTCATGCTTTATTCCATCTACGTTCCCCTAACGCCTCGCCTTTGAAAAGATTCGTAGGATGTGGCGCTAGAGTCAAACTATTTCCTTGGTGCCTTGCCACCCGTACTCTTACGAGCCGCCTGCTTTGTAGGAGCCATATCTGTGAACAACCGTCGATTGGACTGCTTCCCCATCGATAAGTTTTGTTGAAGCTGATGAGCAGCTACTGCTTTCCCTGGTAGGTGAGCTTTCATATTCGTACAGAGGCCAAGGTTATTCTGAAAAACAGAGGCTGACTTCCTCTTCCGTTTATCATGTAATCTTTCACCTGTCTTCCTTGTAAGTACTGGTGTGTTCAATGATGATATGTTGCAGACACTGTTAATGGGTAAATTCATTATTCCCAGTTTTTCTAGCATATCTAGACCAAGAAGATCAAGGTTTGGCCGTTCTATCAGATAGCATATTCCTGTACATTTTGTTCCATTAAAGGAAAATTCACACTGGAACTCACCAACCAGTTTTTAACACACCACCTGCAGCGCTTTTAGCTGTTTTCTTAGATGGCTTTATTGGCGGTTTTCCCAGCAGGTTATACGTTTCTGTAGACACTAAAGTGATATCTGATGCCGTGTCGATTTGTAAACGAGCTGATGCACCGTTCATATGGATAGTAACGTACTTTCTCCGAACGTCATAGTCTGTTTGACATGAAATCACATTTGCACTTAATTCTGTCTGACCAGTAGGAATAGAGGATATTCGTTGGTGTTTCCAAAGCATTCATTGCTCATAAGTCTTGGAACCACCATGTAAGCAGTGTTGTTTTTTGAGATGGCAAATCAATTGATGAGATAACGAATCTTGATCAATTGAGAAGTGTGGGACATGCGTTACGTATGCCCAACGACGGGCTACCTTGATGAGTGGGGTTTTTTGATATAAAGGTAGGCTAGGGGCGGCCAAATCAAAACACGGTACAAATTCATGAAGTCATCGCCCATTAGTGGACTGAGCCATGTTAGTAGGTGTAGCTTGCGATTGGCGAGACGAGATAGTAGCCGATGATTAGAGACTTTGAACGGCATGGCTCAAAGTCATCAATCAACCAATAGCAACGTAGAACTTCGTTCGTACGTACATCAGTTCAGGCTGCCGTAACACATTAGCACAGAGATGTAATTGTCAATTCAAATCCCATAGTAGTTGCGGTAGTCAAGGTATTTGCAGCAGTCGGAGAGGTTAGGATTAGAAGATATTATTCAAGAAGTAGAATCTAGTGAAATAGACTTAAGAAGATAAAGATAAAGTGATGAAGAAATAAAAAGTTTGGGGTTTGAGAAAACACAAAGAATGAATGCACCTGTGCCATTGCAAAAGTTTTTGAGCCATTTCATTCAGAGTATCTAACCATCGATTATTATCATCTCGCGGACCCCAACGAGGTACTCGACAACTACTGACATGACTCAGTCCACTTGTCAGTGACTTCATGGATTTGTGCCATCTTTTAGTCTGGCCGCCCCTAGCTTTGTCCCAACCTACTCATACACCACAAAACATAGCTCGTCCAAGCAGTCGGTGGTTAGGCATACGTAACACATGTCCCAACCACCTCAACTGATGAAGTTTCACCACTTCATCTATTGATTTGCCATTCTTACCTACCACCCGTTTTCTAACGACAGCGTTGCTCACTCGGTTGTCCCAGGATATACGAGCAATGCTTCTAAGACATCTATGATCGAACACTAGTAACCTACGGACGTCTTCTACTGCTGCGCAGTACATCCGTCGTTCGGTTAGCGAACGGATATCTCGCCTACGCCATAAGTGACGCAGGTTGGCAAAAGCCAATCGAGTCTTCTGTATCCGTGCTGAGACTCCCCGGATTAATGAAGCTGTCGACTCGCTCGTCTACTTCATTCCCTATCATTAGTTCTGGTACCGATGCAACCCAGTCTTGAAGCAACATTTTGCATTTCGAGAGGTAGAACCGCATCTCGAACATGCTTGCATTGTTGCTCAAGGTGGTCAGAAGACTTCACATTTCGTCAGAGTCTTCATTGAATAGAACTATTCGACTACCATATTTACTTACGTACACTTGACTCCGTTTTGCAATTGATTGTTACATTAGTTTCATAAGTGTTGTACTATATGTTTACAATTGATCAGTTGCAAAAGCTACACCTCATCATTATTGATTTGATTTATTGTAAAAACTTAAAATTTTATTATTTTTTTCTCGATATCACATTTATTATTTTCAACTATACAAAAGTTAAATTAACTGGCTTCTTCTATTTTGTCAGAAGTCTTAATTCATTCTCATTTTCAATTTAATTTGGCAACGAGTGATATTATCATTCTGGTTGATTGATGTGTTGTACCTAAGTGTACATATCTCTGTGTATATATACATGAATATACATATATATGTATATACATGCTACTCTCTGTCTGTACATGTCAGAAAGTTTTATTCAATCTTACCTGTTTATTGTATTTGTCGAAATGAATTCTACTTGTTTTATCGCTTTTTTTTCAACTCTATTGTTGTCAGTTTTGCAACAGAGAATGACATTCCTTTCTGCAAAAATTGAATAGTAGAATTATTATACTAAAGAATTTTGGTTTTTTTTTTTTTGGTCAACCTAATTTCATTTGACCTTGTTTTCATTTTTACTGTGCAAAAATAAATCATTTTTGCTTGTCTAATTATTCGTTTGTCATTAATGCTTGACAATTTCTGACTCCCTTTCTCTCTCTCTCTCTCTGGCAATACACATTCATAATTTCCGCGTCAATGTTAAACACTTGATTCAAAGTTCAATTGATTACTGATTTTCTGTTATTGAACAAAATAGATAAACCATGGAATTTCAACTAACTATTCTTCTTCATTTCTTTCAAGTTTGATATTTTTGCTTCATGTCCATTGTATGTATGGATGAATTTGGTCACAAATAACCAGCATTTAAAGTAGAGAAGAAAATAGTACTCTTGTATCATTAACACACTCTCTCTCTCTCTATACAACATATATATCTGTGTACAGTATTATTGTTGGTTATAAATTGTTTTGATTATGTCATCAAGGTAGTTGGCTTCATTTCAAAGTTCATTCACTCACGCGACAATAGTTCACATTATGTCTGTTTATGTTTGTTATCTGAAAAAACTTCAGAAAACTCTTAATACGAACGACAATTTATAAACTTTCATAGTAAAAACATATCAGCTTCATTTCATTGCTTACTTGATTCAAATTACTAATGAGGCAATTACAAAACAACACAACACTTAATCGAATGTTCTTAATGTTTAGGATTCGGTTGGATATGTCAGATATGCTAATCCGTTTTTTAAAGATTCATCTTTGTATTGGCGATGAAGCGTGATAAAGGAATGTGTGAAGAGTTAGTCGTGGAGATAAGAGAGGTATGTGTGGGTGTAGGAAGGATTTGATTTTTACCAATTTGGTCTCATGTGCTGTAACGGGTATGAGGGCGGTTATCACTTCCCGGCTGCCCACACCGTGGAAGGTTGTTTTTTGAGGAAACTGAGAAGGAAGGTAGATTGGTGTTGGTCTCAGAGACCTGGGAGCGTGGCCGCAGAGTCCAAGGGACAACTGCTTGAGGCCGGTCACGCACAGCCTTTTTATGAAAGGTTTTTTGAGTATTAGCTCCGCTCTTGAAAACCCTTAGTGGGCATCCCGTATCATGAGGTAGGGTGAGGTGTGACATTTTTAGAGTCGACCTTTCTAACCCTTCCTTCCTTGTGAGAAGGCAGCATCTCTGCGAATGCTGATTGTCCGAGGGAAACACCTTACATCTGTTACACCCATCTGCAGTCAGCAGTACAACTTCGCCCTCAGACCTTGAGTAGTTGCTTTTAGTCTCATCGTTCTCCAGTCGACATTCCTGGCATGGTAGAACCTTCAGGAACATAAGTTCCAGCCAATGTAGCTCGGTTGGGTGAACAAGATAGGCAAGCCCGATCACCACGTCAAGGTAGCAGCTACGGTCGGATTCATCTTCAATAGATCTAATCTATATACACTCTAACGTTCAAAGGTTAAATAACTATTACAGTTTATAATGTAGAGGAATCACTTATGAAGCTGGTTATCGAATTAGTGTATACACTTCAGTCATTATTGTCATCCATATTATTAGAAGTTAACAAGTTGAGATTTAACCTCCCTGTGTTTTGGCACATCTGGCGGTGAGGAGAGTCTTTTCTTCTATGGTCATTGTCACATCAGTCCTACTCACTACCTTATCGCACCAAAAGTGTTTTTTTCACGAAATTAATTGGACGAAAATCAAATATCCAATGCTGTTCACTGGGTTCGTAGAAATGGAAGGATGCACTTTGGGTAGTTGAAAAGCCCTGATTCCAAACCATTGATGTACACGAACTGGCTGTCAACAGACTGCAACATATACTGTTGTGAAATAATACACTTGTTGGTCAAAGTCCTGCTGATTAGTGAGTGACTTTTTTAAACAAAACCGCCTACTTTGGTTTAGGTAGCCGAGAGAGAGAGAGAGTAACACAGCCCACAAGAAAAAAGTTTGTGTGGTATATAAATATTTCAGTGCCAGTTTGTAACAATAATTACGTATTTACAAGAAATAAAGTTGGGATTTTTATGTTTTAAAATAATGAACAACACGAGTTTTTTTTTCGCCTTTATTTATCACGTCGAAAGCTAATCAAAATGATTCAAGTGCTACTGTATGTTGTACGTTATTATTTCCCGTGTTTGTAATTGTTAACTGTATAAATAAAATAATTGTGTTTTGTTTTGCAACGATCATCATCATCGCGGGAATACTTGAAATGTTTGTGTATTTTGTGTGCGTGTGTGTGTGCTTATTCACACCCACGGAATTGCTCTATCGATCAGATTTAAGAAGATTAATTAACTTTTATTTGCATTACTATTAAACAGGGGTAGTAAAGCTGTTTTGAAGGTTTGACAGTGTAAAATGTACTTCCGATCAACAATGTACTTTCTTCGAGTTATTCACTCATATTCCTACATTGTAATTATTAGCATTATTTTCACTTCGTGTATTTGTCGGGAATTTTCTGTTTCTTTCCGTTTAATATTCTTATTCAGTATCTAATTATTGTGTACACACTTCTTGTTACGTAATGGTTTTCATGTTTTTGTAATGATTATGATTTTAAGTCTAATCATCCACGAGGTTTGACCTACTATTGATAAGATTTTTGTTATCGTATCCTGTTTAATTTTTCTTACTACTACCATCGGTACACCTCTGTCTTCTTCTGCTATCAACTTGTACTTTTGCCTATTATGTGTGTAGAGTGACGTAATCTACTGTTCGTTTATATGTGTTGTTCTAATTTTTTTGCATTATAGTATTATGGAGATGGTTGTTTTTACAGATTGAATTCATGAATGAATGAGCCATTAGAAAACTGGAAGACAGCTGTTTCTTCCTGCCTGGTTAGTGACTACTCATCAATAATAGTACGCATCTACGGCACCTAATACTCGCACGATTCGAAGTCAAGTTCATTTGCTAAGTAGTGTTCACGGGCGACACTGAACGTCTTGGGTTCGAATCCTGTGCAAACAGGAGGAATCGTAGATTCGCGCTGTTACTGTTGAGTAGTCATAAACCAGGCACGACAAAACAACCGTCTTTCATTGTGTTAGGAAAATCATCCAATATCTTAAGAGAATTATTGGTCAATTCCTATTGCTGAATTCCTACTGGTCAATTTTATGATCGTCCTAGATATCAATGTCACGTACCGCAATGTTATTTCCCATTGGTCGTCCTGACTATCAATGTCACTTCAAATGTTGTTTCTTATTGGTCGTCTTAACTGTCAATCCCTGGCCCGGGATCTTGATTCCCTTCTGGACTCGGACCAAGTACTTTCTGAATGCTTGTAGAATACAGGTTCTACTTCACATTCAAGTCTTCTTATTTTCACTCAATATGCGGGTTAGGATAATCGGATTAGAGTAGCATGCCGTGTTTGTGCTTTTCTGTCTCTTTCCGTTTATTATTCTTCTTCACTATCTAATTATTGTGTACACACTTCTTGTTACGCGTCATGGTTTTGATGTTTTTGTAATGATTATTTCCATGTTTGACCTACTAGTGACAAAAACGTTTCCTATCATATTTTATATTTCTTACTACTTACTATCAGTGTACACCTCTGTCTTCCTACTATCAACTATTATGTGTGTAGTGACGTAATCTCTATTTCATTTCATTGTGATGATTATTGACTCAAATTGGTTTAACATTTTCATACAAATCATTCATGTATATTAGAGTGCTTTGCATCTTTGTGCCGAGGCCACATGGCAAAACCTGATGAACTGTTGTACGTACATGTGAAGTTCTACGGTGTTGATGACTCACTGACTGACTGACTAACTGACTGTCATTTCCACTAATCTTATTTTTTCAATCATAAAGAATGTGTTCATTATTGGGCTAATCTTAGTGTGTACTTCTAATTATTCATTTTATTTTCGTATTCTCTCTGTGTGTTTCTCATCAATCAGATCAATAGAGCTATAGCTATTGCCGGTGTCGGTGATTTAATCACGCGTCTTGCAGTTGGTTGGCTTACAGATAGACCAGGATGTGTTGGTCGTCGTGGTCTGTTGTTAGCTTTTACATGGATTATAGAAGGATTAAATGCTTTTGCATTTGCTGAACTTAATCGATTATATGGAAAGCATACTGTAAGTGACATTTGTTCTTGTGTAACTTTGTCATTCTAACCACTTTTCTTTTTTTCTACCTCAAGATAAAATCACATTGAGAAAAAGGTGCGTCTTTGTGTTTGTGTTTGTGTGGTGATTGCAATTCCCAAAGTGCCAGTACGCATCTATAAGCTTAGAAATTGTCACCAAAAAACAGGAGTGTCTGAAGATCGAAATGCATGGTGTGATCATTGTATGTTGTGAAGATCAGCAGAGATCTGAATGAAGACAGTCAATCACAAACTGCTTGTATCGCCATTCGATGACTGAAGACAATGTGGGATATATATTTCGTACTCTAACTGTGTCTTCTCTAAATCAGTTCATGATGTGGTATGGCAACATGAACTGATGTACTTACGTACGAAGTTCTACATTGTAACTGACTGACAGATTGACTTAAATATATATGCGTCATTGCAAACGATTCAGAGCCATGTCATTCGAAGTCTCTAACCATCGGTTACTGTCGTCTCACCGTCCTCAATCAGGTAGTGGACACCTACCAGCATGGCTCAGTCCAGTTTTCAATGACTTCATGTTTCGGTGCCATGTTTTGGCTTGGCCACCCCTAGGTTTCTTCCAAATTACCCCTACATTATAAACCATCGCTGGTCGAATTAGTCGGTGGTTTGGCATTCATAACACTTATCCCAATCACCAGTGGACGAGGTTTCACTATTCCAGCCTTAGTACTCGTTTCTTTACATCAGCATTGTTTATTCGGTTGTCCCAGGATATACGAACATTTCTCCTACCTCCCGTTCAGCATACGCGGCCAATCAGAAGTCTTCAACTGATTCGGTCCGGATATATATCTGCCTTCCAATTTGTTCCCTTACTGCTATGCGTCCTTTTGATGTTTACCTCCTATTTTTGACGCAGTGTATTCTTTGGTCTTTCTGTTTCCCTTTGACCGTGAGCATTCCGAGTTAGAGCTTTATTCGTGACTTGACTCGACGATTTCCGTACAGTGCACCGTATCCACCTACAGTTGAAGTTTCCGTTACCTATTAGCTTTACGTATTACCATATCTACTACAGACTGACTTAGTAGAGAAACCCTTTTAGGCTCTTGTACTCGAATAACTGTAGGTCAGAAAATTTCAACCTAGTCATTAGCTTTCTTTGACAACTCCTATGTGTAATACTCGTATGTTGAACGCTTATTATTCATCCTCCTGAGATTCTTGTCTAATTATATAGATATATTCTTGTTGACTCTAAACTAGTTTGCTTTAGTTCACTGCTCTGGAACCTCAGAGGAATAGATAGCTAGGTAGCTTCATTTTCTGTATAAGTGTTTGTTGGTTATATACGTTCCTTTGATTAGTCGCATCAAAGTGTATTGTCGTTCGTGTATTATATCGAATGTATACAGATATGTAGATATATATAAATATTCTTGACAGTCTCTGACAGTTTCTATTATCAATCAATCAACTGTGTCGGCTATTTCGATTCAAACAACAAGTTTTACCAATGGTAACTTTTTACATAAAATCAAACTGGTTTCGTTTTCTGTTGTCTCTGAGTTTTCCATGTACACATGTATGTTCATTAAAAGATGTGTATGTGTGCGTGTGCGTGTGCGTGTATGCGTATGCACAAGTGCAATCTGAATAATTCCATTGCAGTTAATAATTGCCAAATTATTTCAGTAGTATTTCAATATTAATTAGGGAATTTCGAAAAAAAACCTAACTTGTGCAACGCTCAAAATGAAAGTTTATACACAAATTATTAGGTTATTCAGTGAGCTGTGATGCTATCTAGCTGCCTAAAATGTATTGGGTGATTTTCTTCGGGGAGGGGGGGGCATTCCCTGAACCTTTGAACTAGAGATTTAATACACAAGGCAATGAAGCAATGTCCGATTGGTTAGCTCAGGATCCTGGATCCGGTAGTCACCAATGGTTAGAGACCTTGAACGACATGGCTGGCTCAGAATCGTTTGCAATGGCGCAGATGCATCCACTCTTTGTGTTCTCTCTAATTTTGACCTTATGAATTCCTCATCATCTTTACCTTTCTCCTTCTAAATTTATCTTACTGAATCATATCTTCGCTCCCTAATGTTCTCCATTACTTCTAATACTTCTATTATTGCTATCACTGTTGGATTTGAACTGACATTTGCGTCTCTGTGCTGATGTGGTATGGCAGCGTGAACTGATGTCAGTCACTCAGTTGCAACGTAGAACTACTTACGTATGTACATAAGTTCATGTTGCCATACCACATTAGCACACACAGACGCAATTGTCAAATCGAATCCCATTATGATTGAGATAGTAGAGGTATTATTAGTAATGAAGAAGACTAGGGTTTGAAGTTATTATTCAAGAAGTAGAATTCAGTGAGATAAGGTTAGAAAGACAAAGGTAGAGTTGCTGACGAATCCAGAAGATTAGGATTTGAGAGAGCTCAACGAATGGATGCACTTGCGCCATTGCAAACGATTTTGAGCCATGTCATTCAAGATCTCTAACCGTTGGTGACTTTCGTCTCGCGGACCGCAACCAGGTAGTCTACATCTACCAACATGACTCAGTTCACTAGTCAGTGACTTCATGGATTTCTGCCATGTTTTGGTCTGGCAAAAATGTACGTACGTACGAAGTTCTGCGTTGCATCTTTTTGGATCCTGGATCCCATGTGCCTCAGTGCTTTGCGTCATTCGTTTTCACTAACCCAGTTAAAGCACTACACATGTGCTTTTCGTCCTTTTAGTTTCGTTAAAAAAACCTCGTCACAAGAAGTTAATGAATACGACTTACGTGGCCTTGTGCAAGAATTTGGCCATATTTTAGCTATCGGCGCATAATCAGCAGCATATATCGACCGAAATTTCAATCGAGACTAGTTGAAAACAGTATAATTTGAGGCTGTACACATAGTAGAATAAATATCTGTCATTGTTCAACATAAAAATCATTCAGAAACTAATGATTTACTGAATTAGGTCGACAGACAAAAATCATAGAACAAAAAAATACCCGAGGTGCTTGATTTCTGTTAATACGTAATATATAAAGTACCAATCAGTTGTTATTCTTAATTTCAACCATTGTAGTATTTTGTAATTTTGTTTGCATTACTGATTACTTCGTTAATTACGACTGTCTTACTTGTAATGCAGCATAGGCCGCTGGCAATTGTTCTGCAACCTACTCTGTTCCAGACATTCTTTTCATGTTGGCTTCCAAATCTCTGCGTAATGTATTCTTTGATCTCTGTCTCTTTTCCTTTGGCTTTGAGAATTCTGTCTTGTTGTGTATAGTTCGGTGCCTTTTCCGCAACCTGTGTGTCGATCCACCGGCGGTGCTTTTTCTTAATGTCTTCATCAGCTGGTGGAATTTGGTTTGTTCTCTTTCATAGTAGGTTATTGTTTATGGTGTCTGGCCATTAAAGTTTCAGTATCTTCCCCAGATACCTGTCTATAAATACCTTTGGTGCCTCGACGAGCTTTGTTTTGTAGTGTAGGTTAGAAGAAAGTTAGGGGCTGCCAGACCAAAACATGGCACGACTCCATGAAGTCATTGACAAGTGGACTGAGTCATGTCAGTAGTTGTCGACTACCTGGTTGGGGTTGGTGAGATGATAATAATCGATGGTTAGAGACCTTAAATGACATGGCTCGACACCGTTTGCAATGCCGCAGGTGCATTTATTGTTTGTGTTCTCCCAAATCCTAATCTTTTGGATTCTTCAGCACTTCTAGTTTTGATAGAACAGTGAGAAGACGTAATTGATCTGAAAAATGTGATGTATTTGCGCGCTATCCATGGTTTGAACAATCTGGTCACACACATGTATACACTTGTCAAGGCATTTTATATGAAGATGAATAAAAGGTCAATTAAATAAAAGTTCAAATAGACATAGGGTGATAATTGTAATCATGAAGGAGAGAGAAAATTAACGTAATATGAAAAGAATAAGAAGGGGTAGGAAAATTGTCAAATTACCCTAGGCTTAAAGATTACTAAGGTAAATTCAAGGTTATAACACCGTGTTTCTGCACACATAAGGGGGTAAATGTGTGTGACCAGATTGTTCGAAATGTATAGCGCAAACACATCACATTTTTCAGATCAATTACGTCTTCTCACTGTTCTATCGAAATTCATAAAAGGGACTAATTGTTTTAAACCTCTGGTTTTGTCTTTCTAAACTTTTCTCACTGAATCATACTTCTTGAATATAATATCTTCTAATTCTAACCACTCCGATTACTCCTAATACCTTTACTACCTCTACTACTATTGGATTTGAATAGACAGTTACATCTCTGTGCTGATGTGTGGTGTGGCAACATCAACTGATCTACTTACGTACGTACGAAGTTCTACGTTGCATCTGACTGACTGACTGACCTTTGGTGTTGTGCTATTAACTTCTATAGTTCTCCGCTTGTAACTCTGTGACAGTCTGTTCCAATCCGACTGATGGTGTTTGGTCAACGGATCCGGAGTATCTTGTGTAGACAACTTGCATTACCAGTTACATTACATTGAAGTTTGTCTTAAATACAGTGAAAATACTTCAATAACGGTAATAATAATAATAATAACAATACAAAGTCGTAATCTATGCATTAATTCATGTAATGTTTGTGTATATGAATATTTCCCATTGTTTTCTTTTGTGTAGACTACTGCTATTCTTCATACTGACGATGTCAATGGCAGTAATAACAATCATGATTCGACTGCATTAATTGTATGCTATTTTATATGTTTCGGTATTCATGGTATTTGTAGTGGTACTGCAATGACACAAATGATTGTAGTTTTATGCGATTGGGTTGGTTCATCACAATTAGCTCAATCATTAGCTATAACTATGGTTATTTTAGGATTAGTTATATCACCGGGACAATTTTTAATGGGTAAGTGTTTTATTTTTATTAATAATAATAATTATTATTATGTTTGAATAATTATTTCAGTCAATCAGTTAGCTACAATGTCGAACTTTGTGTTGACGTACATCAAACAAAGTTGCCATACCATCAGTCAGTCAGTCAGACGCAACGTAGAAATTCGTACGTACGTAAGTACATCAGTTCATGTTGCCATACCACATTAACACAGAGATGTAATTGTCTATTCAAATCCAATAGTAGTAGAGATAGTAAAGGTATTAGAAGTAATCGGAGAGGTTAGGATTAGAAGATATTATTCAAGAAATATGATTCAGTGAAAAAAGTTTAGAAAGTCAAAACTAGAGGTGTTGAAGAATCCAGATGATTAGTATTTAAGAAAACACTCGGAATAAATGCACCGGAGCCATTGTGAACGATTTTGAGCCCTGTCATTCAGGGTCTCTAATCATCGATTATTATCATCTCGCGGACCCCGACCAGGTAGCCTACATCTACCGACATGACTCAGTCCACTTGTCAATGACTTCATGAATTTGTGCCATGTTTTGGTCTGGTCGCCCCTAACTTTCTTCCAACCTACTCCTACACCACAAAACAGAGCTCGTCGAGGCAGTCGGTGGTTAGGCATACGTAACACATGTCCCAACCATCTCAACTGATGGAAGTTTCATTACTTCATCTATTGATTTGCCATCCCTACCTAGAACTCGTTTCCTAATGACAGCATTGCTTACTCGGTTGTGCCATGATACACGAGCAATGCTTCGGAGACATCGATGGTCGAAGACTAGTAACCTCCGGAGGTCCTCTACTCTTAACGGCCAAGTCTCGCATCCGTACAGTAGGACGGAGCGAACTACTGCACAGTACACTCGTCCTTTAGTCAGTAAACGGATATCTCGCCTGCGCCATAAGTGACGCAGGCTGGCAAAAGTCAATCGAGCCTTCTGTATCCGAGCTGAGATTTCGTCAGTCACCAGACCATCAGCACTGATGAGACTCCCAAGATAAGTGAAGCGGTCTACACGTTCGACTACTTCACTCCCTATCACTAGTTCAGATGCCAATGCAACCCAATCTTGAAACAACATTTTGCATTTCGAGGGGGGAAACCGCATCTCGAACATGCTGTTGTTTTCCACTGAACGATATGCACACTAATGTCTAGCTTCATGAGGAAATTCTCGTAATTCTAGTGAGAAGCCGAGACCAGTATAATTCAACTCTGTCGAGTGTAGGGCAGTTACCTACTGATAGCAATGGGTGATGTTGTGAGCTCAAAACCTTGAATTGATCAAACCTAGACATTGACACCGTTAAGCGTTCCCATGTGAAACTGAAGGCCTCGGGGTTCGATTCCTGTGAGTGGGAGTTGTGGATGCACACTACTGAAGGGTCCTACACCAGGACAAGACGACCGTCGTTCATTGCTAAGGTTGTCTAACAATAATTGATTCACGGTCGCATTAGAAACATTAAATTTTTTTAAAATTCCATCATGATGAAGGTAATTGAGTTGCTCTCTTTAAAAAAACAATTATATTCACTGTAAAAGAATGAGATTTTTATTCACACTTAGCCCTATCAATCATCATAATGTGCACAAAATTAGCATGACAAATTTAAATTTTTTAAACTTCCTTGATTACGTATTTATTTACAATGTAGAACTTTGTACATACGTACATATTCAGTAAGAATAGACAACAGAATAATTTTTATTAGTTTTAAACAAATGCAACATCTATACACAAACTGAACACTTATAGTTATTTGTGTTTCAACATGTTGACTGTTCCAACCAAATTGAATTAATTATTGTTATGATTAGCGTTTGTTTTTCGGCAAGTTTGTCGGGATGCGGTCACTAACCCTACCGTTTCTTTATCTGGTCTTGGAACCGGCAGTAAGTTTAGAAGGGCTCCAGGTCAGTCAATCAGTTAGATACAACGTAGAATTTCGTACGTAAGTACATCAGCACAAAGACGCAGTTGTCAGTTTAATTCCACGAGTGATAGCAATAATAGAAGTATTAGCGGTAATGGAGAAGATTAGGGAGTGAAGATATGATTCGAGAAGTATAATTCAGTAAGATAAATTTAGAAGTAGAAAGGTAGAGATGATGAAGAATTCAGAAGGTTAGAATTAGCGAGAAGGTCTCCAGGGGAATTTTTTCCATCCAAATAGATAGACAATTTCTTGGTGTCCATTTTTTCTTGCCTTACTTAATTACTTACACAGATTACCTCTTGTAAGAGCATAGGCCGTCGAACAGCATTATCATTCAGCTTACTTTGTCCTAGGACTTCATTTCCAGTCCTATCCAACTGCTATTCCTTCTTTTCATGTCTCCTTCCCAGTTATCAGCATAATGTCTTCTAAAGTCTTCCTTTTTGCCTTTGGCCTTGACTTTTCCCAACGAGGGCTTGCCTTGTTGTCACATGCAGTTGAGTACTTTCCTCCACGTGTCTGCTCTACTACATCTTCCTCTGCTGGTGTTGTAACGCTTGCTTAGATAATTCTCGCCGGAACAGGAAAAGATTTATATTCCAAATAGCAAGGTTAAATGGAAATATGAAGCCGAAGGTGAAGGCAAAAATAGATACAACGTTAGTCTATTTATAGCATTTACATGAGAAGCTTCTGGATAGAAATCCACATGGTCGACTGGATTAGATTTAGCCAATCTGAGTGCAGCTAACATCAACATGCGAATTTTCTACCCTGTTCTCCAAGAATCGATCAGGCGCTGATTGGATAGGAAATTAGCCAATCAGCGTGCAGCTAGCGCAGTTATGCTTTAATTCCATCTACGTCTGCTAACAGCTGGAATCTCCCACAGTAGGTTATTACTGATAGTAGTGTAGTGAACGAGAACACAGGTGGGGCAACCGGATTGTATTTAACGAAAATTACAGAGTTACTCAGTAAAATCGGAAAACCATATCGTAAATCGTTAATTTGCAAAATATCAGTCCATCCTATCGAACTGGACTGTTCCTGTTGCAAACGACATCGATCCGTTGTCACTATTCATGCGTTTCATACAAATTCCATTGTGTTCTAACTCTTCCTTTCTCGATCTTCCCCCTTCCTCTGCTGTCAGACATTACGTTGACACTCACTTCATATACTACTTATAAATAGCTCACACCACAGTAGTAGTATCTTACCATTGGATTCTTGCTTAAAATAATCATCATGTACGCATTATCCTCACTTTTTCTTATTGTTTGATCGATTTATATTATTTCTGTTTTTTGTTTAGGTTTTATTGCTGATTACACTGGTTCATTTGTCTCATCGCTGAGAATATGCGGTGTCATTCTACTATGTGCTGGTTTTATTCTTTTCTTGGAATTTCCTGTTCGTCGATTATATCCATTAGCAAGTAGTATTACTACTACTACTACTAATAGTAATAATAACAAAAACAGTAGTAATAATAATAAAACACAATCAATCGATCAATGTATTCCAGTGAAAGATGTTGAAGCACAAGATATTCTCTATGATGCTGTTGTTGTCAATAATGGAAAATGTCATTCATTGTCCAATTCACTGGATCGTAATAATATTAATAGTAATGATAATCATATCAACAGTAATAATTTATCTCCACTTCTGCATACTACAATTGGACAAAGTACAGAGTTCAAATATCCAAAATAATGTGTATATATACATATATACTTGTGTGTGTGTGTGCGTGTATGTCCGTGCAGTCGGCTACCTTTCTCCATCTCTCTCCGTCTCTCACTCTCTGGGATATCAGTTCTCCATAGTTCTGGTGTTGTAACCCCTCCTTCTCATGATTAATTAACTGACGAACGAATTAACTAATTGACAACAATTACCACTGGTGTATTTTCTTCTGTCTTCCATTTTTTCTATTTACAACAAAAAATAACATTTATTTTGTAGTCGTTTTCTGTTTCTCCAAGTTCTTTTCTCTACTCTCACATTCCTTAAATGTAATAAATAGTGCGCCGCCGGTTTTTTACTTTAATTTTTAATTAGTTGACAGTTTTGAAGCGTTCTTATCGATTCGGTTCCTCATTACACCTACGGTTGGTTTATTGTAGCTGTGTCTATGTGTGTGTGTGTGTGTGTATTTGCGCGCGCGCGCGGTTGTGCCAATGATTAAAACAACGGAAATCAGAAAAACTTTCTTATTTCATATCTTGTGTGTGGTATTGTACTTCCTCCTAATTGATGATCACACACACACACACACAGAAGGAGATCAGTGTTGACAAACGATCTATTTAAAAAAATTTCAATTTCTTGATTAGTTTATGTTGTATGATTATCTTTGTTTTAACCAATTATTAAAACTAACCAGAATTAAAAGGGACTAACTAAACTTAGGTAATATTATCATACATTCTTCTGTAATATTTTTGTTTAGGGTATTTCAATCACATACTACTAGTAGTACTACTACTCATACATGACTACTTACTTACTTACTGTCACAAGTTCAGTGATGCTGATGTTGATGGTCGTATGTTGTCTCGTTGCGTATACAAATACAAGAAATAGCTTCACTTTTGATTCTGTTTCCATCTCTCGTTCACTCACGCACAAACGCACATGTTTCTTTCTATATGGATTAGTGAATTCAATTAATTGTGATTTGATACTTTCTTACACCTGTTACCCCCAATGGAGAGGAGCCTAGGCCACCGACCAGTTTTCTCCAACCAACTCTGTCCTGGGCGCTTCCCTTTCCAGTTCTGTACAACTTTTTTGTTCATTCTTCGTATATCTTTCCCTAATTCTCGACGTAATGTTTTCCATGGCCTTCCTCTTTTCCTTTTGCTTTGAGGGTTCCATGTGAGGGCTTGTCTTGTGATGCAGTTCGGTGCTTTTCGTAATGTGTGTCCTATCCACTTCCACTGCTTCTTCCTGATTTCCTCTTCCTCCACTGGGATCTGGTTTGTTCTTTCTCATAGTACGTTATTGCTGATGGTGATTTTGATACATGTTGGTAGACATGAATATTAGTTTTGTATTAAGGATTGATTATATTGTTCATGTTCTTATATATTTTTTTTCTATTGCCGGTGATTTACATCTTTCGCATATCGACTATTTGACAATGAATGATCAATTCCTATGATATTCCTATCTATCTATCTATCTGTTTATATATATGTATACATGTATTTCTGTTTTATTTTTATTGACTCTATTGTTTGTTACCTTGTAATAAGTTTTAAATAATGATAACAATAATAATAGTAATAATAATAATCATAATATTACTGTATGTATCATTCTAAATAAAGTATGATTTTTAATGATTTGACTTGTGAGGCCTTTTTTGTTTCCAACCATATTCGTCGTTAACGTGTTAACATCAGTCAGTCAGTCAGTCAGATGCAACGTAGAACTTCGTACGTACGTATGTACATCAGTTCATGATGCCATACTACATAAATCAGTACAGACAGATGTAATTGTCAATTCAAATCCAATAGTAGTAGAGGTAGTAAAGGTATTAGAAGTAATCGGAGAGGTTAGGATTCAGTGAGAAAAGTTTAGAAAGTCAAAACTAGAGGGGTTGAAGAATCCAGAAGATTAGGATTTGAGCGAACACAAAGAATAAATGCACCGGCGCCATTGCGAATGATTTCGAGCCTAGAACGAGGTTTCAAGAGACCAGGAATGACGTTTCGTGAACTCGCATCAGTTGCATTAGCGGCGCAGTCAGATAAGGGAATGTGATTAGGGTTAGTTGTGGAGAGAAGAGAGGTATGTGTGGGTGTAGGAAGGATTTGATTTCGACCGATTTGGTCTCTTGTGCTGTTACGGGTATGAGGGCGGTTGTCACTTCCCAGCAGCCCACATCGTGGAAGGTTGTTTCTTGAGGAACCTGAAAAGGAAGGTAGATTAGTGTTGGTCTTGGAGACCTCAGAGCGTGACCGCAGAGTCCAAGGGACAACTGTTTGAGGCCGGTCACGCACGGCCTTTTGATGAAAGGATTTTTGAGTATTGGCTCCGCTCTTAAAGGCCCTAATGGGCACCCTTACCCAAGGAGACGGAAATCCGTGATGTAGGGTGAGGTGTGACATTTTTAGGGTCGACCTTTTCTAATCCTTCCTTCCTTGTAAGAAGGCAGCATCGCTGCAAATGCTGGTTGTCTGAGGGAAAAACCTTACAGCTGTCACACCCCTCTGCAGTAAGCAGTACGACTTCGCCCTCAGACCTTGAGTGACGAATAGTTGACAAGTCACATGAGCTCATACAAACCAGAAAATAATAAGAACGAATGATACATATCAATTGTTGCAATACAAATGGCTTGGTTAAATAAATTAATCGAAAGCGCTTAACCAAGTTAAATGTAAGCAAACTGTAATAAATGTGTAGGCACTACAAATGTATTAGAAGTAATCGGAGAGCTTAGGATTAGAAGATATTATTCAAGAAATCTGATTTAGTGAGAAAAGTTTAGAAAGTCAAAAGTAGAGGTGTTTAAGAATCCAGAAGATTAGGATTTGAGAGAACACAAAGAATAAATGCACCGACGCCATTGCAAACGATTTTGAGCCATGTCATTCAGAGTCTCGAACCATCGATTATTATCATCTCACGGACCCAAACCAGGTGGTAGACAACTAGCGACATGACTCAGTTCACTTGTCAGTGACTTCATGGATTTCTGCCATGTGTTGGTCTGGCCGCCCCTAGCTTCCTTCCAACCTACTCCTACACTACAAAACATTGCTTGTCGAAGCAGTCGGTGATTAGGCATACGAATTGAATGAATTTGGTAATCACTGAAAGCTGCTTCAGTCTTTCCGAGTGAACAACGAAGAGAAGACTGTTTTTTTGCTTGAGTAAAATAATCGGAACTTGATAACACTCAAATTAGCTAATATAATCACAGGATTCTTTGAGCGTAGACTATGCTTTTCGAGTAACAGTTCAGCTAATATCTCTATCATTAGAGATTAAAAATGACTCCGGTACCCCCCTCGCTATAATAGTCGCCGTATTGTGCTACGCCCTGGGTGTCAACCCCAACGACTTATCCTCATCTCTCATTAAGAATGATAGCCAGCTGCTTTGAAAACTGAAGATGCTGTCTCAAATTTTCAGGATGAATAGATCATTGTCCCTATGTTTAAAGTGGACTATACAGTCAGTGCACTAACTATAAACGTACAAGTCTGGTTTCGATTTCGTTTGATTTATTGGTTTTTCTCATATTTCATAAATGGTACAAAACGTATGATAGGCTGTCTTGGAACGATCATTCAGGTTTTCGTTCAGATGTTTTGGTCTTATCTTCAACATCTACCCAATGTTAGAATACCTACGCACTCATTACAGACCAAGAATCTGTGTTCCTTGATAATAAGACCTCCTCTGTTTGTTATAAAAAGGTGTGCCTGGCAAATCTAGTAATATCTGTAAGCAAACACCGGCTAGTGAGAGGATATAATCGTCCTATTCCAGTGTTTTAATCCAACAACGAGGCTAGGCAAGATCGCTCCATCTACCCTACGTTGCTATCGATAATATTTCAGCGATAACCTTGAAGGAAATACGAAGTTGTGTGGATTTGTTATCTTGAGAAACCGACTCGATCTTGAGGATGATGATGCTCAAGCTTATACAAACCGCAGTTTATAAGTCCAAAATCGGTGTCAAAAGTGCCAACAGTATAATAATATCAGTTAGATTTATTTCTAAAGCTACTCTATTTATCTACCGGATCGATAATCAGCCGAAGTACATTTTGTGTTATTAAAATATTGTGGCACACTTTATTACTTACAATTACCTAGATTCATCATTTACTCAGCATATATTAAAGCATGATTAGATTCGAGAGTTCATTGAAATTTGAATAAAATAACCTATTGCTGATCCTTTGATGGTGGAGGACCAGGTTGGAAGAAAGCTAGGTAGGGGCGGACAAATCAACACATGACAGAATTCCATGAAGACACTGACTAGTTAACTGAGTCATTTTGATACGAATAGACTATCTGGTTCGTGTCCGTGAGACGTTACTGACCGATGGTTAGACACCTTAAATGATAGCTCAAATTAGTTTGCAATGGCGTGTAGGTGCGCCCACTCTTTGTGTTCTCTCAAAAAATTCTAATCTCATGACCTTCAACTTTCTCTTCCTAATCTATTTCACTGGTTACATACTTCTCAAATCATATCTTCAAATCCAAATCTTCTCCATTACCGTTAATACTTTTACTATCTCTAGTACTAATGGGATTTGACTTGACGATTTCAAATGTGTAAAAACGCAAACCTCCAAAACTGTGCCCCAGAATATCGTAACAGTGCTCACTAGTGACTAGCTTCGTGAAGAAATTCTCGTAGTTCTAGTTGAGAAGACGTGACCAGTGGAGTTCAACCCTGTCGGCTGTAGGCAGTAACTACCAAAGACAAATGGGTGAGGTCGTGCAAAATCCCTAGGTCAATCAGAGTTAGACATTAACACCGTGGGATACCGATCCAGTGGTTCGATGGTAAGGTGTTCGCCTTCAATGCCAACGGTCTCAGGTTCGAATCCCGCGAGGAGCAGGAGTCGTGGATGCGCACTGCTGATGAGTCCCATACCGGGACGAAGTGGTCGTCCAGTGCTTCCAGGTTTCTAATGGTGGTCTAACAATGATTGATTGATGATCTCAAAT